TTATCTAAAAACATCCCATGAAAGTGATGTGTGTTAGGTGTTTCGGATGGGGAATCATAGAACGGCTTTCCCTGGGGTTGTGATAATGTCGTTCTTCTGCCAGAACTAGATTGGGAGGGGCTTTCTAAGACACGGTGGCGTGGATTGAAGAACTCATCCTGCCAAAGTGATCTAAGTGTTTTATGGAAAGTAGAGTACACAACACACACACAAACACATACACACACCTTACAGTAAACGGAAGAATTCCTTGAAAATTTAATATTTTTGGTTGATTAGGCTCAACAGCAACAGAAGTGAACGGAGAGATTGGCCACTGATTGGCCATGTGCCCTTGGGTGGTCCTCAAGCTCTCTGGCACTGGGAGAAGAGACAAAGTAGTCTTGTTTCTAGTGTCCGACCCACTTTCTACACCACAGGCTCCTTTCCCACTGGCTCTGTTTTGACAGGCTCCCGACTTACAACCAGTGCTGTGCCCCTGCAACATTGGGCCTCCCCTTCAGGGCTTCACCAGCGGCCCCCTCATTGCTTTCCCAGTTCCTCTTCCTCTACCCAGAGAAGTGTGAGCTAACCTTTAAACCATCACCTGAGGTTGCCCCTGGGCCTGCTGGTCAGCTCTTTCAAAGCTGGATTCTTTATCTTCATAGGATTCCATCCTGGCCTCTTTAGCCAGTCTTATGCTGATCGGTGTGATTTATTCCTTGGTTGGGATTGGCTTTAATCTATCAGCTCAGCAGATCACCTGAAGGCTGGTTATCGCTAGAATTCATTTACTTCTCCTCTACCAGAACCTCCTGTGCTTCTGCAGCCCCTCGTGACACTTAAACATCCAATCCCCTTCTGCTCTCGGCACCCGTCAGTCATACTGCAGTTAACCAGGCCATGCGCTCGTGATGGGAAAGATGCCTATTTCTTTGAGAGGCAAGACCCTGTAGAAGAGAAGAGGGCAGATTTTCCAGGGTCAAGGTGACTGAATTAAAAATGAAATTTAGCCCCACCATCTACCATCTGGGTGACCTTGGTGATCATTAAAAGGTCTGACTCTAGTCCACCTGCAAGGTAGCAAGTCAGTGGACCACAGTCTCATGGGTCCTGCAAGGTATGCAAGACTCCCGGATCAGTGGCAGAGAATCATTTATTACTCACAGGAAGAGAAAGAAGCCGAGCTCCAGCGTTTGTGCTGGTCCCTCACACTATAACTGCACTTTGGGACATATCGCATTGCAGGAGGCTCCCCAAATCGACCTCTGTCCAGGGGGAGAAATCATCTTTATTATATTGGATAGCAAATAATTCCGCTTTTTACTAGGGAGGAGACAGTGTCTCTACATTCGAAGGGCTTTCATTGCCAAAGCATCCTTGACCGAGCGGTGCCTCTGGAAAATGTGCTGACGGGAGAGGGGGTGGGGCGGAGAGGAGGAGAGAGCCGGGAAGAATTATCTCCCAATAGCCTGCTGGGAGCTCCCAAACCTCAGCTCTGCTGGTGCATCCTTGCGAAGGTCAAAGAGATGCTGTTCTTAGAGAAGCCCGCACACCGTGCCTACCACCCTGCATCATGCCCGCTTCCATGATGAAAGGGCTGCGTCAGTTTCCACTACCAATGACATTTCCTGAGTAAGGTGCAAGCGTGTTCATTGGATTCTGTGTCACTTCCCGCAAGCATAACGTTACAGCTCACTGATATTTCTAATCATTTGAGCAGCAAAACACTAAAAGCTACCATAAACTTGGTGTCTTACAGATAAGGAAGTAGATTTACAACACTTAAGTGGCTTGTTAAGTTTCATACAGAAGATCCACAAAAAGGATAAAAACACCGTGACTTAACACTCAGATTCTCTTAGGGGCCAGAGAGATGGCTCAGCAGTGCAGAGCAATGAATGCTCTTCCGGGGGGCCCGGGGTTCAATTTCCAGCATCTATATGATGACTCACAACCACCTGTAACTACAGGGCTCTGATACCTTTCTTCTGACCTCCCTGGGCATTAGGATTGCAAGGTGATATATCGACATACCGGTAGGCAAACACTTATACATGTAAAATATAATTAATGTAAAAAATTTTAAATTCCAGATGTTTTAATTACACATAAAGCCTGGTAGAAAGAGTTCAATAATTGATATCAAAACCAAGTGAAGAAAGGCTTTAGAGAATAGTTCATAAATTAATTCATCAGACTGCTTCTCCTTCCTGTTTGCTGGACTTACACACCAAACATAATCAAAATAAGTGATGGAGAATTGGATACATAATTGTTGAGGTCAGGTTGTGACTTATACGTCACACCATACTACATAAGACTGGCTTTTCAGTTTGTCTATATTGTACAAAACAGTGTCTTGCCCTGAGAGACTCCATTTTATAAGCAGTCTTTGACACCATCTTGAAGATGAAGGATGCCCCTGCATTTGGTTGGAGATATGAATGGGACCATCTGCCTGATACCACCCATGAATCAGAGACTGTCAAGTGACTTATTTCTGGAGTTAGAGAGAGCTACCCTATAAGTTCACTGTGGTGAATTGAGAATGTGGGAATCCATGTTATATTAAAATTGTATCAGCAAAACCAAGCCCAAGAACTCAGCAGATATAGCAGACCAAGGAAGGAATGTACCTCCCTCACCTGGACCCCTTAAAGAGGTAGACCCCATCACTGCAAGGGTAAGCGCCCCCAGTCCCTTGTCATCTGGGTACAACTCCCAGCTGTCACCAGAGCTTCAGCTTAACTCAGTCACATTGTCAACAAGGCCCCCTCAAACTGGGGTCTGCCCGACCTCTTGATCAGCTTCCTAGCCTGGCCACACGTCAGTCTGCCTGACCTGGTCCTGCCCATCATTTCCGGTCATTTCAGGTCGTTCCTACAACCCAGCTTAATTCTGACTCTGCCGCCAGCAGCTACGGCAGCTTCTGGCTTCTTCCACAGAGTTCCTTATCAATACAAAGATTCTTAGATCATTATCAGTTTCCCAGTTTGGGCTTCTGGGAGGGGGGGGCTCTTTAAAGCACCTCAAAACCCCTGCCTTTTGAATCTTTTGTAGTCATCCTGTAACATATACACACGCGCGCGCACACACACACACACACACACACACACACACACACATGCAATCTGTAATATATGGTCTGAAAGTTCATATTAGTAATTAAGATTGGAATAAAAAGCCTGTCCTCGCCCTATCCAGGCTCATCAAGGGAAGTTGGATGCTCTGCAGGTGCAGTCACTGGAACAACTTGCCTGTAAATTCTGGCTCGTGAAAAGCACAAACGTGTTGACCTATGCTTCTGACCCAGTGTGCTCACAACAGTGACCCATAGATCATCCTCTCTGTCATCATAATAGCCACCACCTCCATAGCAGGAAGAACAAACAAACAGACAAAATATGCCCGCCCCCAACAGGAAATTACAAGGAAACCTGCCCAGTATAGAGCTGATGTTGAATGTGGTCCCATTCTGGCGGAAGGCAGGGAGTGCTGGAGGGCGCAGGAAGCTTTGTGTGGACCACGAGGTTTACAGGCAAACTTATTAAAGCATGAGGGAGAGCAAGAAATGAGAAAGAGGAGAAGCAGAAATGGCATTTGTTCTGGGATACAACTCGAAGACTCGCTGATGGAATTTATCCTGAGAGACTGGAAAAATAAGCGTGTTGGGTTTTGTGCTTCTTGGTTCCCCTTCTATTATTTCTCTTGCTTCTTTAAGAATGAGGTTATGGCTTTAACAATGCCATAGAGCTCCGAAATTCCTCCAGGTCAGAGGTCTGTAGCTAGGTGGTAGAAGCAAGATAACAAAGGATAAAGAATGGGATTTGTAGCCGGGTGGTGGTGGTGCACGCCTTTAATCCCAGCACTCGGGAGTCAGAGGCAGGCGGATCTCTGGAAGTTCGAGGCCAGCCTGGTCTACAAGAGCTAGTTCCAGGACAGGAACCAAAGCTACAGAGAAACCCTGTCTTGAAAAACCAAAAAAAAAAAAAAAAAAAAAAAAGAATGGGATTTGTGTCTTATCTTTTATCTTCCCCCAAATCGCTCTTTGCTGCAGGCACCTGGATGGCCCACGTGAGCTTCTCCTGAGCTCCTGTGTGCCTGGTCTCCACAGTAAGCGATGCACTGCCCCTACTGGTCATTTCCAGAACTGCTCTGCCTGCCTCTGTGTCTCTTCACAGGGCACAGTGATGGGAGTGGTGTACAGAAAAAAAGATTGACACAAACCATGCCATCTCCTCTTTGCTTTAGACAAACCCCAGAAAGAAAATCACCTATTCCTCTTATGCTGTGGAAAGTTCAGGATTTTTTTTTTTTGCTAGAACATCTATCTGCCTGGAATCAGATGCTCTAGAGATAGGCATATCCCTCAGACTTTGACCTCCTATCGAGAAAGACTTTTCTCTAGGTCAGGCAATTCTGGGTATTCCAGTTCTTCCCAAAGGAGGTGTTTTCTCTCGGGGGCTCCCGAGCTTTTCCTCAGGCAGATGCTACAGAGCCACCCCGGTTTGTGTTCTTTCCCAATCGTATCTACCTGGTAATGGATCCAAGCAGAGAGAGCTTACACAAGAGTACTAAGCCTTTAGCCCCTAAACTCCTACTAGGCCCATCCTAATAGGCATGATTAAGTCTGGTAGCTGGCAGGCCTTGCCGAGATTCCTTTTGTAGATGTATCAGTACACGGGGATTCACTCATGTCCCGCCTACCTCTAAGTATGAATGTGAATACAAGTTTTAAATTCCAGGGGCATATTCCAGTTCTCTTCTTGTTTTTCAAAGGTGGAACACAAGATATATCCAGACCTTGAAGGCAGAAGTCACAAAATAATCCCACACTAGTTCAGAATTATGAATAATAAAGGGTTAACTCTGAAAAAATGTGCCCCTGAAGCAGAGAGGGTGGTCCTAACAACCCCATGCTGGTTCATTTGACTGAAATCAAAGTGCTGCGGAGGCAGGAGCTGTGGGCATTGGGTTGGGGTGGACGCTCTAACGTTCTTAATGCTTTCCGTCTCCAGGTCATGCAGATGTACCTTCCCTTCTGTGGAATCGCCATATCTAATGCTCAGCTCTTTGCTGCCTCGAGGAAAGAATACGAAAGAAGCCGGGTGAGTACGGGGCCCTTGCTGACCATGCTCAAGCTAGCTGTCTTCGCAGCCTCTGAGTCACCCCATCTTTCAAACGCAGCAGATGGTCACCCTATCGTCCAGGGACCATTCTCGTTGGTACAATCCCACAATGCCAGGGCCGAAGGCCTCTTTATATAGTGTGCAAGTTGTGGGTAAAAGTAAACGCAATTTCTCTGTTATTGCTGTTTCTGGACTATAGAGCTGGTTTCTTTTAGAAAGGAAATTGGTCTCACATCTGTCCTATGTGGTGGCAGCACAGCCTTGGAGCTTGGAGCTTCGAAATGGCAGCCTTTGCCATTTTACACACTAGTTCCTTCAAGGAGCATGGTGTGCTGCAAGCTCCTTGTTTGAATTTGTTTGAAAGGTTTTTCTGGACGAGTAGCACAAGGTGTGCAGGACAACCACACAAGCGCCGTGTTCACACAAGCACCATGTTCACACAAGCGCTGTGTTCACACAAGCACCATGTTCTCACAAGCGCCGTGTTCACACAAGCGCCGTGTTCACACAAGCACCGTGTTCACACAAGCGCCGTGTTCACACAAGTGTCATGTTCTCACAAGCGCCATGTTCACACAAGCGCTGTGTTCACACAAGCACCATGTTCACACAAGCACCGTGTTAGAGGATTATCAAACAGCACAAGAGGCACACCTCCAGGAATCATAGACTCGTGTAGTAAAATGCACTCGGAAGCTCAGAGAGCATTAAATTATCACCTAGAGATTAAAGTATATTAAGTTCACTCTACATTTAAGTATGTGAAGATCACTGTTGCAGTCTAGAACTATACTCTCTAAGAAACCGTTTTTTAGAAAAAGGATTAAATCCTCAGCCATTCCATTGATTATAGCTTATTTACTAGGAATTATGATCACGACTGTTTCATAGGAAGCAGATGAATGAGCAGTCCGACTGCACAGCCCTCTTCCTTGGGCAGAGCAACCCTGCTTCTAACTGGGCCTCCTTTTCATCCTCAGAACCCCGTCTTGCTCACGTCTTCCCTTCAGCTGCTGCTCCAGCAATGTGCTTCCACGACCTCCAGAAAACAACCCGCTTGTCCCACTGTGCCCCACTTCTACCCACACTCCCCGCTGTCTCCAACGGCAGCTCTCCCTTCCAACTGCCTCGTCTAGCCTTCAGGACCCGGCTCATCTTCTTTTCTTGACTTACGTGCTTTCCTTGCTCTAGTGTGGGTACCCATCACATTATTATAATATTTGTTGATGACCCTCCTCTACAACTGCACTATGAATTTCTTAAGGGAACCTTCCTGTCAGACTGAGACAGTCTTCCTCGCCTGTGTATGGCAGAGTTCACTTACTCCTTCAACGACTGTGTATTGTGTGGTTCTCAAGAGACCCTGCCCTGTTATGTCCTGACATAACTTATTATTCTAGTGGGAACAATAGATAATAGAAAAAATAAAGACAAAACTACACAGTGCCGGATAGAAACATAAAGTGGAAGAAAGGGCTAGACCTTGCTGTGGATGGGGTAGATTGAACAGTCCATTTATATTTGAGGGTGCGGAAAGGTACCTATGAGGAGACAACCGAAGTGGAATGAAACGAGAGACCACGTGAAGACCTGGGCAGAGTGCACAGACCACGGACACATCAGGTGCAGTGGTCCTGTGTTGTGAATCGGGAGAATAGAGAGAAGGAGGGGATGAACAGCAAGCAAATGAGGATAAGGAGGTGAACAGGGGCCGCGGATAGAAAGACCTATGGGCATTTCAGGCACTGTTGACTTACAGTAGATTTTGAGCTGATTCCAATTCATTTTAAAAAAGAAAAACAACTTGGCTTCCTTGAAAACAGTGAAGGGCTGAGAAGAATGGACTAATGAGAAGGGATTTGAAGGAGGGAGAGCAGTTAGAAGACTCTACTGAAGTCAAGAGAAAAGGTAGCTGGCATTAGGTCAGTCAGAAGTGAGAGTTTCCCTGCAAATCAGTGGTGACGGGTGCAGGGCTTGCTGATGTGGGGGACAGAGAAAGGGACTTGGGGCTTATACACAAGCTCATGGGCAGCAAATACTTGAATTAAGGGCCTAAATTTGAGGAAGTATGATATTAGCGATGGGATTATGTAAAGTCAGGAGACTTGTTAAGGAATTGAGAGAGGAAGGATGTGTGGCTAGGAGAGAGGAAGAGCCAAGAGTCAGGTCAGGTGTAGAGCAACAGGAAGGAGGCGTTCCCAGCTATTTCCTACACAGAAGGGACAGTTATGAGGCAGGGCACATCCCACCTGTGAACTCTTTCGACAGCCTGTCCAGATGTTTGGTCAACCTAGGCTTCCTCTCTCTTCCGCCTCTTCTGGAGTTAGCCTTTGGCGATTTGTAAAACTTTTGCCATTCATTAGCAAAGCAGCCATTTTTAATTAGAAGGAATAAAATTACAGTCATGCGATTTATCAGTACAAGACTCCAGGGGCATTGGTTCCTCCTCTGAGAGAAATGTTCGTGCGCAGAGGTCCCAAAGGCTCTCCGTGCAATCATAACAAATTGAAAAGTTAAATAATTGTTCAGTTGCTATCATCCATCGGAAAAGATGAGCTGAGTGATCAAGGCAATAATGTTTCCCCCTTAATAGCAGGGGACTCGCTTGTGATTTCTCAGACAATTGTCTCTCTTTGAAGAAATTATTTCTCTCATTTTTTGAGATTGTAATTAGATCATCTTCCCCTCCTATTTCCTCCCTCCTAACTCTCCCATACACCCCTATTTGCTCTTTTTCAAATTCATGGCCTCTATTTTTCACTAATTGTTGTTGCATGCATATATGTTTATACATACATACATACATACATACCACACACACACAAACACAAACACATTCCTAAATACATAAACACAGCCTGCTTGGTCTGCATAATGTTACTTGTATATCTGTTTTCAGGGCTATTTGGGATTAGATAACCAATTGTGTGTCCTTCCCTGGGTAAGAATTATACCCCATTAAATGTCTTTGAACATGAAATTACCCCACAGTAACCTCTCACAGCAGATTTGCTATCTAATGCCAGGAGGGGAAGACTGGCTTCAATTAGTGTTGGATTTGCTTCTTAGTGTTTCTCTTTGCTTTGGTCTTATCCACAGGCAAGGCAGGGTTTTTCTTCAGAACACTCCCCCAGGAACTTCGGTTCTTTCGGTGGCGCCACTTCGCAGATCACTTAGCTCATTCAATTTTGTGTGTGTGTGTGTGTGTGTGTGTGTGTGTGTGTGTGTGTGTCTGTGTGTGTTTTCACCTCAAGAGAGGCAGAGAAGAAATTTTGTTTCAAATTTTTTCAGGACAAATAATATTAATTCCCAAGTTTCAAAATTAGTCGTGCCCCTGGGCTGGCAATCAACACCCCGATGAATAAATTTGAACCTGTGGATTCATGGAGTCCCTTTGCAAAAGGTCAGACAGACAGACAAACATCCTGTTTAACGTTATTTATTAAAGCACAAGCCAGTTCCGTGGCTGTGTAATTCCTTGAAGCTTAATTTCTGCCACCTCTAAATAGCCTGTTATTCTGCAAATTCCGAACAAAAAAAATCGTCATTAAAATTCCAAACAAATATTACTTTGATGCATAAATTCTAAGCTCCCTTGGCTAGAGAAAGTAGTAGATCACTGCAACTTAATTTTGGAATGAGTACACAGTGTTCAATATGTAGTTTAAATTTTCTCCTTTAATTTACATACCTTTTGGTCTGCCATCTTGATAGCAATTTTAATGAGGGTTCCTTTGCTGAGATATGAAGTAATATCTCAATGTTCTACTGAACTGTTGGGAGTGAGGCACTATTTCCTCCTCTGGAATGGAGAGAGTAGTGTGAGAATATATATTTGAATGCTTGGAGCCTTAATTAACATTTACCTCCATTATTCTTTCAGAATTCTGGGAGAGAGATGGGTTAGTAAGAATAGGTATCAAGTTGAGCCATGAAGCTATTTTTTTTTTCTTAGCAGTGAAAAAAGGCTGTTTGGCAGTTTTCTGAAACAAATCTGCTCTGGCAAGGTCCACATACCTGTTATTTATAAGATGTCGATTTTTGTATTCAGTCATATTGAAGGACCGCTTTGGTGGGTAAAGCACCTGCATTAGTGGCTACATGGGGCCTGTAACACTGATCACCTCCATTCTCTGGCTCTATTTTTCAATTTAAGAGAGTACATTATAAAGTGAATCACTGAGCTATGCAAGAACAGCCATAAATGTTTTTAAAAGTAGCCGCATGAAATATCCGTTCTTAGAGAAAATATTACCTGGAGTTTTGTGGAAAGGCAAAGTCGATGCTTTTCAGTCTTTTTTTTTTTTTTTTAATTGAACTCTACATTTTACTCTGTTCCCCTCCCTGCCTCTCCCCTCCCTACTTCAACCCTCCCCCAAGGTCCCCATGCTCCCAATTTACTAAGGAGACCTTGTCTTTTTCTATTTCCCACGTAGATTAGATCTATGTAAGTCTCTCTTAGTGTCTGCATTGTTGCCTAAGTTCTCTGGGATTGTGGTTTGTAGACTGGATTTCTTTGCTTTATGTTTAAAAACCACCTATGAGTGAGTACATGTGATAATTGTCTTTCTGTGTCTGAGTTACCTCACTCAAAATAATGTTTTCTAGCTCCATCCATTTTCCTGCAAATTCAAGATATCATTTTTTTTCTGCTGTGTAGTACTCCATTGTGTAAATGTACCACATTTTTCTTTCCCATTCTTTGGTCGAGGGGCATTTAGGTTGTTTCCAGGTTCTGACTATGACAAACAAAGCTGCTATGAACATAGCTGAGCACATGTCCTTGTGGCACGATTGGATGCTTCTCAGTCTTACACTTCCTAAATACGGGCCTCTCTTGTCTTCAGGCTTTGCTGGAGGTAGTCAACGACCTCTTCGAAGAACAGACTGACCTGGAGAAGATCGTCAAGAAAATAATGCACCGGGCCCAAACCCTGTTGAAATGTGAACGCTGTTCGGTTTTACTTCTAGAAGACATTGAATCTCCAGTAAGTAACCCTCTGCGGTCCATAGGCGGAACGAAGATAAGTTTGTAAGAAATTAAACTGTGAGCAGAGCGGCTGCGTTCACACCTTCACCCCAAGAGGGAACGTTTTCATACATAAGGCTCTTTCCTTTAGATGCGTTTCCTTTTAAAGTGGATGCGGACCTTGGAGCCTCCTTTAACTCCATGGCGCTCAGGTGTGCAACGATTCCCCAGCCTCACACAGCTGAATTAGCAGAGAAGGCCAAGCCCAGCCCCCACACACCCGGACACTCTCCCTCTTATTTACCCAGCGCAGGGCAGACCCCCTCCTGTGCGTACTGAGCGCGGTAAGGACAATGCCACTCCTCTCAAAGGGCGAGCGGAACAAGCAAAGGGTCAGAGCAAGTCCCCTTGGCTCCTGGGCAGACTGGTTCGAACCAGCTTAGCTGGGCTGTGCTCTGCAGTAGGTTGTCTGGGCTGGTACAAACCAACCCAGAGCAGCCCACGCAGAGAAGAAAGTGCCTCAACTCACCTCGGAGACTCTTTGTGCTCCAAAATGGAGAAATATGGAGGCTCTGGCCTGGCACACATTTATGATTTGTGGCCAGCGTTTGGGTTTGGTGCAGCCCTTTGGACAGTTTGGGAGAAATCAATCAAAAAGCAAAACACAATAAAAATACATTGAAAATAATGGTTATCATCTATCTAAGCAAGCTCTTCAAAGTTAAATGTCTAAACTCCCAGCAGCAACTTAATATCTTTGCTGAGAACTCACGTCAAAGATTAAGAATTGTCTAGCATGTAAGAGCGATTTTAATATCTCAGAGAGAAGTGTTTTACTATACCGAACTTAGAGAAGGTGTTGTCTTTTTGCTTTAAGGTTGTTTTCCTCAAAGGATGAAAATCTGAGGTTAGGAATTGTAATGAGCATTGTAAACTTTGCATAGATTGTTTAGAATGTGTAGGGACATGATATGTGAAATCTGACATTTTAGTTCTTAACGATCATGTAGAAATATAAATATGTGTGAATTAAGCATAAAACTTATTTAAAGGGCAACAAAGAGGGACAGTGAGTGAAATTCTGCCTGAAAAGCTATATAAATGCACTTGAAACAGACTAACTCCTTATTTAAAAAAAAAAAAAAGCTAGTTAAACAAGGGGCAAAACAAAAGGGGAAAGCTTTATTTAAGGGGTTTGACGAAGTCCCCTCTCACAGCCCTACCTAACACAGATCCCCTGTCAAAAAGTCTCGGGGAGAAATTATTTCAAACTCAGGAAGAAATAACTAAATTCTGGGCTTTTAAGCTCCCAAATGGAGCTTAGAGTTCTGTAGTCATTGTTCTAAAACATTAAAACAGGGAAGGGAAAATGCTTGCTCAGGAAAGTTCTTCTCTCAAAAGAACGAAAGCCGGAGTTCGATCTGCAGGACTCACACAGAACAGCCAGGGCTGCGCGCGCACTTGTAATGTCAGCACCGGGAGGCAGACGGGGATCCCAGGGTCCACTGACCGGCCAGCCTGCTTAGCCTGGGCCAGTGAGAAATCCTGTGTCAGAAAAAAAAATAAGTAGAAACAACACTTGATGGTATCCTATACTCCATGTGCATGCACACACACGCATACATAAACTGCTATGCCCAAATCCACAAAGGCCCCCAAAAGCCAACAAGGAGACCAAGTCCCGTATGTAAGCAAAGAGCCTTTATTTTATGCAAGTTTGCAAACTCAGTCTTTCTGCATGCCCATTGTATTAAAATAAACGGAGAGCTCCGAGCTCAGTAAGAGTTGGGTTTTTATAGTAGTAAAGGTGGGGGTGAGGGGTTTCTGAGGTTTAGGACCCCTGATTGGCTGACATTTGTCTAGGGGTGTCCTGGTGAGTGTGTGCTGGCAGGTGATCCTATCTACAGCGGTTGGAACATTAGGCACTTCCTTTGGATGGTCTGTTCTTGGGTGGTGCTCAGGTAATCTCAGTTTGTGGTTCTTCCTGCAACCAGGTATTGCTTCAGGGTAAACTACTGAGACTCAGGCCTCCATTAACCTAACCACGGCTGAGTCCTACTCTAGCAGGTGATAATGGTTGGAAGTAAAAAACCTCCTTTGATTCATCTGTTCATATTTAGCTTATCAGGGCTGGCTCCTACATTTCCCCCTTCACAAGCACCCATGATAGGACCCAATCTTGGGTCCTGCTTGCCCCTGGTTTTAAGGAGGTATGGAACTACTTAAATTAATAGATCCATTAATTGACAACTCTGGGCCCGTTTTTCTAGTATATCAACAGGCACTATAGGTAGTTATCTTGTCCCCCATGCCAGGGAGTTCCCCCTTGTCACAGCCTTTCAACCTATTTTGGGCAGGGAGCATGGGACAACGTGTTTCTTTCCACAACTACTTGAAGCTAACATTGGGGCGTTGTTGTCTGGGCCCAAGCAGGTTGAAAGGCTAGCCAAAGGTAGGGCGGATATTTAGGCAGTGGGGCATTCATCAAATTCCATTGAAGGGACAGGGAGCATTCATATCAGCTGGACTGGTCCACATCAGCTTTCAGGAAGTCCAGGGCTCGCCACCATTCAGAACAGGTTGCAGGTTGTAGTCAACAACTGATGCTTAGATGTGTCTGCCAGCCAAGTGGAATCTAACTGAGATAAGTTTAAACTAGGAACAGAAGCTAAACTTTAGACAAAGAGCAGATAACAGGTGTCTGTAAACAGAAGGAATAGACTCATACCTTTGAGTCCTAGCTAACAAGTTGGCTGTAGCTTTGTGGAAGAATCTGGATACCTTTTGATATTAAACTGACATTATAACTGCCCTAGCCATTAATCTTTTAGAGATCTCTGAAGAATAAATAAAGTATATCTGAGTACAGACCAAATAGTTTTTGAATCTATTAAAAATGACAGGGACCAGAGTCCCTATACAGTGAGTCATACCCAGGTCTCCATAGCATTGGAGGCAGAAATATCCAGAACAGCAGTCTTACTGTCTAAGCCAGGCCCATAAGGTAATTTTTTTTGTGTGTGTGTGTGGAAGAGGGACATGGAAAAGACTAACCTTATTTTGTCTAGGCAAAAGTGGTGCAATCAATTCTCCAAGGTCCTGCTGTTTGTCCACAGTCTGGACCGGGTCCGGGCAGCAGGTGTTGCACTGGGGCATCTCGCCCAATGGTCAGCATCATCATAATCCAGGTGGAGACATCATGGTGTCTCATAATCTTCTTTGGAGACCTTGGTTACTGTTAGGTTCTCAAGAGTCTCTGTCTAGTATAATAAGCTTTTAAATCATTATTTTAAATTGCCATATTCTGCAGAGCTCTGAAGTATGAAGGCTGCCTAGGTATGTCTGATTAGACAAACTTTGTTTCTCATTATTAGTTTTAAGTTGACTTTGGAAACATATACAGGGAACTAAATAAGGCTTATTCCTGTAACTAATTATATCAGTACTTTAAAGATGACTGACTAACTTCTATTTTCTAACAGTCTATGATAAGTTAGCAGCTTTGACAAGGCCAGAACTCTACACTCTGTAATGATTTTGAATTAAAGCTAATAAAGAAACTGAATTAGAGAGGAGGAAGAGGGGAAGAGGGGGAGGAGGAGGAAGGGAAGGAGGAGGCGGGAGAGAAGGAGAAGACAGGCCATGCCATTGGTAGAGCTTGGAAGAAGCAAATGTGAAATCACACAGAAATGGATATTACATTTCTAGAAAGCAAGAAAGAAAATAAAAGACAGCTCTAAATGCTTTAAGGCGCACAAAGAACAAAATTGAAAATGAAATGGAAGAAAGTAAATTATAAAAAAAGAGAGAATGACAAGAATGGGGTCACAATGAAAGTTCAGAACACGGATAATGCAGTGTCTCTGGGAAGAACACGGCAGACGGAATGAAAAAGGCTTTTCAGAATCATAACTCGAGGGCATTTTACTTAAGTAAAATCAAAGTTGGATTTAGAGATTGAAAGAGCACACTATTCAGGAGAAGTCAGTACTCTGCTCAGCTCTGAATACATTTGATGCTAATGGAATTTAACGATAGAAAAAAAATCAGATCTGTAGGCATCTAGGCAAAACCTCATGACCTTTGGAAAAAACTTTATTCCTATATTAGACTTAGTTACATTTCCCCCTGTGATAGAAGGCAGTGGAACAATAACTAACCAATCCCCAGGGAGAAAATATTAGCCTACAACTTAAAATCTAGGCAAATTCAAATTCAATTATTTAATCACAGGTGGTAGATGCTTTTACATATACAAAGAGGAATGTAGGAAGTACAGTTCCAAGGGCCTGGGAAATGTGGGCAGCTGAAATCTAGTCATACAATGGATGAAAGATGGCAGGATAAGCAAGTCCAGCATTTAGTGCTGTGTGCTGTGATTGTGCAGCTAAGGCTAAACACTAAGGCCTATGTCGTGGGAACTAATGTAAGCCTCATGTTAACAACTGTGGCAAGGTGCTGGTTCCCGTGCTTGGGAAACATGGCAACAGGCAGTGGCTGATGTGTGGAAGCAGACTGTGCCAGGAGAACGAGTCCCTTTTGTGCTTTGACTGTGAAATGTCTGACATGCTTGAACATTCAGTCCTCTCCTAGTGGCACTGTTTGGGAAGGCTGAGGAACTTTCAGGAAGTGCAGCCTTCCTGGAGGCAGTTGGTACCTAGAAGCAGGTCTTTATAGTTCCACCCCACTTCCTGTCCACCCTTCACTGCCTAACTGTGACTGCAATGTGACCTACTGGCTTCTCTCTGTCCTGCCACCATGCCGTCCCTGCCACTGCCCCATCTTCTCCACCATGATAGACGATGTCCCCGCAAACTTAAAGGTAAAATGAGCTCTTTTTCCCTTACGTTGTTGCTTCTTGTCAGGATTTTGTTAGTACAGTCCTTTTTTTCTACTAAATGATCTTAAGCCAGCATTCGGCTGGGGAGAAATGCTACTATGTCATCTCTCAAGTGTGTTTCCTGCAAATCCTTCTGAGAAGTGATCTGGGTCAAGAGAGGCCAGTGCCCCACAGTCTTG